ACTTTCACCAGAATACATTTCTCAAAAAACTCCAGCTTCCCACTTAGTCTTGGTGAACAGTAATAAATGGGTACCAAATTTGAAACTTTACAGTTTAACACCCTCAAGTCGAATACAGGCGCAGAACAACCTTGTAGAATTTCAGCTTCTCTGTTTGTCCAGTCCCCGAAATCGCCAGTTAGCTAGAAATATTCCCGACGTACCCTAATTAGTGACTTAGGCACAACTCGAAGCTTAATTTAGGTATACAAATCCCCACGTGGGCCGAAAATACTAATGCAGACATCTAGCTACTCTTTTCCAGCTAATTCTCGAGTTAGGCGCGATGCCAGCGACGAACTTCGCCATGCCCGCAAGCTGAGACAGGTACACATTTAGCTGAATTTGAAATGCTAGGGAACTGCCCTGTAAGTTTCAGCTTCCTACGTTCACTGGTTCTCGAAATCACCGAACAATCTGCATATCTCTTTTCCGGCAATCGCACATGACAACCAAGCATATATAAACGATAATTTCAAACTGCGAGGGTCGCAAATTGAGGTGGGAGTACGCCCCAAAAATTCCAACCTCGAAGCTTCTCCAGTTCCCAAACTGAAGATGGGCCACACATATACACACACACACACACACACACACACATGTACGTACACAAAAGTGCATGTGTACCCGCACACACACACACACACACACATACACACACACATACACACACATACATACACATACCGACGACTTCTTGACAATGTGCGTTTTTGCCCGCTGTAGTAGCGTTGTAGAGCTACACAGTAAAAACGAATAAAAAACCGAAAAATCACTTCGTCACTGATAAAAACGATTAAAATGAAACCAGATTATTGTGACAGAACAAAAGGTTGGATACAAGCGAAGACAAAAATGGAAATTTAGGGCTAGAAGAACAGGGAAGAAACAACCGGTAAGACCAGGAACAGAAACAGATAGCCTAAATATATAAAAAAGAAACCTTTCCTCTTAAAATGAATGCTTAACATTTGATACTGCATAAAAATTTAAAATAACTTAAAAAACGCACAAGCCATTAGCTACTAGCAAAATACGCATGTGCAGTTGCGTGTAGAATTATTTTCCAAGACATTTTATGCAGGGTCTAGAACCTATGATTCCACGAAAATATGCTATAACATATTTTGGCTTCTCAAGACAAATCAATGCACGGAATTGCTTTACTCATCAAACGAAGCCAACTGAAAACTATCGATCCTTGTATCTTTACGCTGCCATGTTCCCAAACCATTTTGTTGTAGCTGAGTGTGGAAGTCTTCCAATGTTTGCTGGTATGCTTGATCGTTTCGTTTTGCTTCCGCACAACTCCAAATAGGCTTAATTTCACAGAAATCAACAGTGCCAATAGCTCGAGCCCAACTTTCGTACAGCTCAAATTTGCATAAGCGGGACGGTGAACCGCTCACTGTTCGGCCGGTAAACGGGTCCAAACGCTCAATTGTTCCTAAAAAAAAACAACGCAAATAGATAGAAATTGATAGAAATTTTGACGGAAATTGGGAGAATTTCTATCAAAAACGACTTTTTCACGTATCAAAGATCACATAAACAGAAATGAACATAAGAAACCAGATGTTTTCTTATAACATACCAATTCCGGCAACCCAATTGTGATACATTTCGCCATGCGGGACAACACCGGTCTGCGATGACTTGATCACCAATTCACCCTTACGAGCATCACCGAATCGTAGCAGGACAGCATGTGCAATTGCTTTATCAATAGTTGGCGTTCCAACACACAAATGCGTCATATAAATTGGCTCAAAAATGTATGACAGAAGCGCACCTTGTAGACCTAAAATGCAGAAAACACTGTTCGAATGCTCCCTTTTTAAGTTCCAGAACTAACTAATAATAATGCACACTGCGCGTCCATTCATTTCACGCATAAATTTGTCACAAAATGTATCAAATAATGATTTATGGTTTTCTGTTAGAAATGGCGTCAAGAACAACTACGACACTATGATGCAGTACCCCGATCCCTGGCTGAAACTTTGGACAACCTACCCTCGTTAAAGTTTTGCTATCTTAGCAATCTCTGACCCCTGGAGTATAAAAGCACTCTTCCCGATCCCCGCGATTCCACAGCTAGTGCCAGCCACACGAGAAGCTACTCTCTTCTTATCCCTCAAGCTTCAGCTCCCCAGAACCTCAACACCTTTTTTTGTACTGCCTTTTATTATTTCACATACTTATAAA